TWAARGRAARRAAAAAAACCCTAATTATTTAAAAAGTTAAGATAAACACTATGCCATYGGTTCTGGTCTAGGGAGCAAAGTGAGCATGCTCASTGACAGCAAGAAGGCAGAAGAACAGAGGCAAAAAATAAAAAAAGGAATGGATGAGAGCTTGTGAAAAAAAAGATTCAAGTATAGGCCTGAGGTGACAAGATGGAAAAGGAGAAAAAAACATCAACGTTAACAGAGAAAAGGGTACAAGAGAAGAAGAAACCAAACGGAACCAAAACAAAAGTTTCTGTTATGGTGGCTGTGAGCTCAGGACGTGGTTAAGCAGCACAGCATTTTGCAATGCAGGCAAATATTTTCGTAGTGTTTTTACAGACAGAGCCATTATTAAAATACATTTTCCAATCTGCTGCTGTATTTTGAAGCCAAGAATATGTACTTTGTTGAATAGCCTTTTAAAGCCATACCCATTCATGGGCACCAGTTAACAACAGCAATGTAAAAGAACAACATAAACCCCCTTAAGATTTATGCTGAACAAACAGGTTTGACAGTGGTTTTAAGCAGCAAGGTATTTTAGTGCCTGTTATTAGCAGCCCTCACACAGTGGGCATTTGGACTGGCCCTGCTGACCTCAGAGCTACAACTACCTTTAAATTKATCTTTTTATAAGCACAGTGCACTGTAATCTAATTCTACAAGCATCCCAAATTCTCCTACTCCTTGCTCCACGTCTAAAACTCCTGACATGAAATTCTATTTCTTGGCAAAATTATTATTGCCYTTATTGATATTACACAATGCTGATGTACTCATTGCATGATTTCAAAAATATCTTGAGAGCCTTCTGCCCTCTCCACATTCTTGACTGTGTCCCTTCCATGAAGAAACCTGACCCTTGATGTCCAGTCCTTATAGAAGAATGTTTTACCTCTGCTGTGCTTTCAACCACTACATCCTTTACTTCTTCTTAAAGCTAAAGTGCCTGAACATTACAGCCTTACACATAATAGTCTAATGCTTCAGGATTAAGGGGGTCACAGTGAAATGGCAGTCAAACTGAAACCAGTTAACTCTGTTAGCTATCAGGAAACCTGCACTTGCCTGGTCTACAGTTGCACTCTGCATTTAGACTTATTTTTATTCAGTATTTTGAATAAAATTAACTAGCTTTAAACTTCTCCCTGCTCAGTTTTTACTGTTAAACTGCAGTGCACAATTATAGCCCCTTTTCTGCTTTTTCACTCAGTGTTCCTCCAATGCAAAGACCACAATTAATCTGAAAGTCTCCTCTTTGGTGAAAGGGTAGATCGTTCATTGTACACTGAACTAAAGCTTAAGCTTRGCAACTTTGTCTTAGCTCACTTTTTTTTTGTTCTTTTTGAAGCATTACAATAATTATTGCCTCTTTACATGTCTAGATAGTGTTCTGGCAATTACCAGTTTAATAACTAAAGACTAGAAAAAGGACAAATGCACGTTATAGCAAACAAGTCATGCTGTCCCCTAAAATTCAGTGTATGGGCAGATAAAAAAGACCCAGTCTATGGACAAGGAATATGCAGCATCATTCACCTATGCCCCTTACTGGAAGAAAATAAAACCAAAAGGAAAACCACAAAAACAAGGGCCCACACACTYTAAAGTTTCAGCTGTCAGCATTTACTTCAGTTTCCCCTCTCTGTGCAAATCCTCAAGGAGGAGCAGATGACAACGTGGTCTCATCAGTGCTGGTTTTACACGGCATAAACCACTGAGAATTCTATTTCTAACAAGGWTTTTAAGAGCATGTTCTGTCTCCCAGCAGGGATGACTATTTTCTATCGTTGGTCAGAGCTATCCAGTGTCAACAGATACAGGGAGCTACAATTTCTAGCAGTTCTACTGCAAAGTTCATCTCCACTTCCACACTCTAGTTCAAGAAATTGTATTTTAAACTGGTCTGCCTCCAAAGAAGCAGCACCACTCTCTATAACCGTTCATTCAATGTTAGTAACTATTCTAATTTTTATTTGCAATAAATTTACTTGAAAGTTACTTGAAACACCTGTTTAAGCTTTCATTTTATATTTAGTCCAAAATATTTCCTATTACTTCACAAATACTACTCCAAATAAGAAAAAGTACTTGCAAGAGATACTCATCTATGAGTTATTTTCAACAACTCTAGCTTAGAAGGAAACACCTAATCAGATGTTTGACTATTGTGTAATTTAAAACACATTACTACCAAACCCAACCCCAAAACATCAGTGCATTCACTTGAAATTATTAATGTGTATTGAGCAAATGAGTTTACTCCCCRTATTCAGGGTGTTTTGTTTAGATGCTAACAATGATAAGCAATTTTTCATGGCTGATTTTCTTTTTCCAGACTCAAAGTGCTACGTCTCAGCTTTTGTAGGAACACTTGGTTTGTTCTAGAAGTCACCTGAGGAGCTGGTGGCAGTCCTGTGTCCTCCAAGCATTCTGCCAGAGCTGCACCGTGAGAGCAGTGATAATTCACAAGTGACTACATTCACCTTGGCTGAAAGGCAATACTCCACCCAGCAGCTCTTGAAGCCCTGCTTTTCACCTCAGGAAAGGCTCCTTCCCTCACTGCATTGAGAATTCATTAAGGGAGAGTGTAAATAAGTAGCAGAATACCTTCAGTAACATGTAACATCCTATTTTAGCACCAAAAGAGATATCCCTGCTACAGAATGCAAGCTTTCAAYGTGTAATCAACAGGAATGAGGCATAATGAAAAGTGTTACAAGTACCAAAAGGTATAATATGAATTTCAATTTTACATTTAAAAGCTCGGGTTTTAGGCAGAAAAGTTAYGTGCCATTTACCACTATGGGTAAATGGGATATTTTTATAAATCATAATTMTTTTCAAATTAACATCAAATTCACTGTTTAAAACAGCCAGCATTAGCATAAAAGAGGCTGATACACATATGTTTTAGAGGAAGTTGTAAAAGCATCACTAAAAAACTTTTCTAATCTCCTAAGACTGATCTAYTAAAGAGATCTTTTAACTTCCCCCTATACACACATACATAAAACACAGAGAGAATTAAATACATATACACATAAATTGCTATCAATTTCTGTTCCAAAGTGGTAGAATACTCACTGGCTTTCTCCTTGTTTTCTCAMACTCTAACTATCAGACTAAAAAATAAAAAATAAAGAATCCAGTTTCAATCACTTCCTAAACAAGATTTTATGAACATGAATGAGGCAACTGTACAGTTCATAAAAGTTTTTAAGAATTGGTCACTATAAACTGGAGGTAGTTCTGAAATATGTTAGCTTGAATTAATTAATGAAATCAGAAGTAACACTAATCTACAAAAAGATTTTAAAATATGAAATTCTCTCCTGCAGGAAGATGGGGGTCGGAGTCACTGAAGACATGCGGGAAAAAAAAAAAAAAAAAAAAAAAGAAAAGTAGATTTTTGTTTCTGGTTGCTCCCACTCAGCTTTGGTGAGCAGGCCAAGACACATGCACTTGTTGATCTTGCTCACTGAAAGTGTGCTGATGCTTCCTGAAGTTGTGACAAGGACTGAATGTGACATCCCAGYCACTTCCAAAGTGTTTTTCTACTAAAAACAATGTTTAGAACTTCCTGTAAAGCATGCTAATTCTAAACTAGGGCTTCTGAAACTGTATTGTGCAACTGCCCCTCGATTTATTAAAGAGATATTTACTCCTGAACACCCAGATGATAATCCAGGGAGAAAAAGATTAGCATGAGCTCTTGTACTTTCAGTTTTATCAGTATAAAATGTCCCTGGGTAACTTTTACGCTGTATCACAGTCACATGGTCTCAATACATACCAGAAAAAACTCCTTTTGTTGATTTTAACTGTAACCATGGAAACTGTTGAATATTAGTAACCTTAAAATACAAAGATTTTTAAAAAGCCTAAAGAAAAGTCCCTCTCAATGAAGTTGCTGTTAAAACTGCCATTATTAAAAATACTAAGCCCATTTTTTCCAGCCCCATTCTAAAAGTAACTCAAGAATTTATTCTTGCAAAAAAGCATTCCACAGCAATGGGGGAAATTAAAAATCTCTCCATATTTATAATCTACTATAAATGAAATTAAATTATATACTATGTAACCCTGTAACCACTTTYAGCAAACTTCTCACCATTATTTTAAATTGTGTGCAAGAGGAAAAACAACAAAGGAGATTTCTCATCTGCTTTTCTTGTTTTCCCTTCACAAAAAGGTAATAAAGAATCACAAAACCATGATGGTTGGAAAGSAGCTCTTGGGTCCAACCACCAACCCAACRCTGCCAGGCYCACCCCTGAGYCATATTCCTAAGCACCACATCCACGTTTTTAGAACACTTGCAGGGATGATGATTCCACCACTTCCCTGGGCAGCCTGTTCCAATGCTTGGCTGCAAACAGGATTGGAGGTTCAGCCTCACCAGTGCCAAGTAAAGAGGAACAATCCCCACCCTGSTCCTGCTGCCACACTTTCTGATCCAGGCCAGGATGCCCTTCACCTTCTGGACAAACTTGGCTCATTTTTAYCCCTTGYTGGCCAGCACCCCCAGGTCCTTTTCSCCAGGGCAGCTTCCCAGCCACTGTGCCCAGCCTGGAGCATCACACGGGGTTGCTGTGACCCAAGGGCCAGACCCAGCACTTGGCCTTGGCCCACGGATCCAGCCTGTCCAGATCYCTCTGCAGAGCTTCCTGCACWGCATCTGCTGTCCAGATCAACACTTTTGCTCAAGCTGGTGTCATYTGCAAACTGACTGAGGGTGCYCTCCCTGTCCAYATCATCCCTGAAGATATTGAACAGGACTGGCCMMACCATGAGCCCCGGGGAGCATYGCTGGAGAGTGGCCAGCAGCAGGATGTGACTGTCACCACCATTCTCTGGGCCTGCCCAGGTTTTCAGCCAGCAAACAGTGCACTGCCCAAACCATGGGCTTCAGGAGAAGGCTGTGAGAAATAGTGGCAGAGGCTTTGCTGAAATCCAGGCAGACCACATCCACAGCCTTCCCCTCATCCACCACGGAGGTCACCATTCCCAGGAGATCAGGTTGGTCAGGCAGAACCTGCCTTTCATAAAGCCATGCTGGCAGGGCCTGATCCCCTGGCTGTCCTGCACGTGCTGTGTGATGAGATGATCTGTTCCATAACCACCCCAGCACTGAGGTCAGGCTGACAGCCCTGCAGCTCCCTGGACCCTCCTTCTGGCCCTTCTGCCCGATGGGCATCACATTGGCCAACCTCCAGTCATCTTGACACCTCCCTGGTTAGCCAGGATTGATAATGAAAGGTGGAGAGTGGTTTGGGTGGATGCACAGCACAGCACAGAGCTGTGCATGTTCAAGTGGAGCAGCCAGTCAGTGTCTCCTCCTGAATTACAGGGCCTTCGTTGTGCTCTTGCCTCTGTCTTCCCAAGGACAGCCGGTCTGACTATCAAAAACTGAGTCAGAATGCATTAAGTACCTCAGCCTCCTCCTTCTTTGTGGCAATGCTTCCCCTCATATACAACAAAGGTTGGAGATTCTCCTGGGCCCTCCTTTTGTTGCTGATATATTTGGAAAAATGCTTTTTGTTCTCTATTATGACAGCAGCCAAATGGATTTCTAGCTGGGCTTTTGCTTTTCTAAACTTCCTGCATAACCTAAAAACATCCTTGTAGTCCTCAAGAGCAGCCTGCCTCTTCTTCCCAAGGTCTTCTTTCCCTGAGTTCCAGTGACAGCTCCCGGTCAAATCTTCTTCCCTGCTGGCTCATTTTTCAGCACATGGGGACAGACTGTTCCTGCACCTTTAAGATCCTTGAAGAATGTCCAACCTTCCTGCAGCCCTTTTTTCCTTCAGGGTTGTTTGCCAAGGGACTCTCTCAATTTAAACAGGCTGAAGTCTGCCCTCAGGCTCCTCAGCTTCCTCTGCTCGATGACTCCACTTCAAGGTGGTGCCCAGGGCACTGGAGGTGATCCAGGTCCAGGCCCTCCTGGCACTGCAGGTCTCTGCTGAAGTCCTGGGGCACAAGAAGTCAGCCATCCTGCAGTGCAGGCCCCGCTGCTGTGGCTGATGAAGGCAGCATGTCCTTGGCAGCTGCTGGGCCTGCTGCTGAAGCAGCACAACGGAGAGCAGAGCCCACAAGGRGGTGGTCAGCATGGTGGCCCTCTTCACTCAGCCTGCTGAGGAGCTGGACRTGGCCAAGCTGCTGTCTGGGCTCACTCTAGCACTGGTGGAGAGCAAGTGCAGGGTCAGCCATGCTGCCAGGGAAGTGCTTGCTGAGGTGGCATCTTCCTTCRGCCCAGGCAAAGCCACCCTTCTCTTCAAGGCAGGGGATGCTGTGGAGCCTSAGGACAACAGGGACAGGGTGACTCATGGTGCAGGCCAGGCTGGCCAGGAAGACTTTGGTGACTAAAGGTTTGTAAAGTACMCTGTGCTCCTGCCATCATCCTATCCTAACAAAGGTTCTGTTTACCCTGGCACAGATCCAGAGTGTCTGGTGCTGCCCACAGGACTCAGCACAGTCACTGTGGGTATCACACAAGGGGTGATGCTCTCTGGAGCTCCAGCTCACACAGAGCCCAGGCTGGGCAGGGAATTAAATCCAGTAAAAGTTCTGAGTACATGTTTAGGAATAAACCAACTGCCTTGGGAAAATGAGTGTGCTGGAGACAAGGATGGTGGTTCAGGAGTGGAGCTGCTTTCCAAAGGGATGTGGAGCAGGGSTGCCAGCTGTGCTGCAGGGCTCTGAGGGGTGATGTGGTTGCACTGACAGCCATAACCAGGAGTGTCCAAACTGCATGATATGTTTCTGCATGGAGCCAAGTTCAGGGTGACAGTGGTGACACGTGGCTGCCACTTCCAACAGCAGGGGATCACTGGCTACTGGCAGTTAGTTTGACACTGGAGATGCAAGCGCTGAGTTTCTCTTGATCTGTTAGATTGCATGAGCCTRAAGTTCAACCTTACAAACACCTTAGTGAGAAGCTCTAGTCAGAAATGCTCAAAGTGCCACCACCTCCTGTAACATTCTGATATGTATACAATATGCCATATGCTAATAAAGTATATTTGGCTGGGAGTTCCCAGGGTGCAGTCTGTTGCCAGCAATGGACCCACTGGGAAGAGCAGATGCCTCAAAAASTTAAATCAAATCCAAGGTGAAGTTTCGAATGACATCCAAAGCTCCCGTGTCGAAGCCGCAGATATCCAACATGCCTCTGTCATCAGGGTCAGCAATCRTGAAACCATGGGAGGTCATTCCACAAACAATCAGCTTAGCAGGAATGCCCATTTTCTAGAGGAAGGACAGGAAAAAARTCACAAAACACATATATAGTATGTGGGGGGCCAAATCTCGCTTGCAGAAGCCACTGTCTAAAGAGATGGACTGACAGAGGAATGCCAGAATCAGAACTGCAGGCTGCCCTCAATACTGGAATGGGAGATAACCCCAGCTARGCAAACCAAATTAGACTTTTGGTATTCATTTCAACTGGGTGGAAACTATCTAAAGGTTAAAGACCATATACACATGCCTGACAAGCCTATTTTTTGTTTAATAAACAGCTTCAGTAATAAACAAGTTTAATAAACAAGTTTAATAAACAGTTTCAGTAAAGCATAAAGAATTGTTTGCTAAAGAAATAAGAGTTTCTAACAGCCATGTGCTTGGAGAAGGTGTTTTTCTTTGTTCTGTTGTAAAATTATGAATCTGTACATCTTAGAGTAGCCGCTTTGAAACATAATGGGCTTTCTGCACAAGAAAGAAGAAACCCACCTGCCACCTTATCCTACTGATACTTYCTTAYYGGCTTGTCTTCATTACTTCATTGAWWTTTTTTCATAWCACTGCAGACATCAAAGTTAAATTGAATTCTGAGAGTGAAACTTCATTCTGTAACAGCTATAAAAACCTATTCCATCAATTAGATATAGGTTGCAGAAATTCACAGCCTCCCTGAATAACAAACAAAATTTCATAGACAATGCAGCACCCTCAGCAGAGAAGGCTAATTACAATTCCTTTTAGCAATACTGTGGTTTTAAATATGCACAATTAATGCAATATGTGTACTAACTCTGCCTAAATGCAAAATTGATCAGTTTTTAACAATATATAATTATTTACTGAAAGAAACCACAACCAGTCCAATGTCTAAAAGGTTTTTAGAGCTGGAACTAATTTTGCACTGTGTTTATTAATCATAAACAGTCAGAAGTGTATTTACCTCTCTGTACTCTCTTAGGGCCATTGCAGGAGGAGTATTYCCAGCAAAGGTCTCATTGTCAGTAAATACAATGAAGACATCAGCAGCTGTCTGAGTTTTTAGAGCCCAGATCATTGGAAGAGAACAATCAGTGGTACCCACTGGAATCTTAAAGAGAAAAAATACATGGAACATATTAATAAAGAAATCAGTAAACCTTGGAAAAATTACTTTTGATGTAAGCTTTATGTTTTATCACACAAGAGGCTTTTTTTTGTTAAATATAGTAATTTTGTCTTAGTTTTGTCCAGGGACTTTTTTTGTTTGATTTTTTAAATATTCTTTTCAAGGTAACTCATTGTAACCTAGCACTACCATTCTACATTGCAATGTTTAATAAACAGCAACTGAAACAATGACATTTGCTRGGCTTTCTCTAAATAGACAAAAACAATTCCAATGTTTTACACTGAGATACAGACTAAACAAGGTAGTARAATTGATTACAAAGAAAATATGGTGTAACTGCTGAGACTTTTTTTTACATACTTCATACATTTTCACTAAAACTTGAGGTAAGGTCATGTCAGCTGTCACTGGACAAGGGACCATTTCGTGTGAAAAGGCAACAATGTGGGAATCCTTCTCAGTCCKTGCTACAACCTGAGAAAGAGAGACAGAAATAATTCAGTTATATTCCTATGAATTTTTCATGTCTGCACTGAGCCATTCCCTACTAAACACACAACATGAGAAATTTAAGTCACCATGGCTCCAGGTATACTCTAAACTTTCTGTAATACTACTGCAAATAAACACTGCAAAAATTGGAGCTGAGTAACTGCTGTTAATTGCTGTCACTGAAGATACTCTCCCATTTCTTCTCTACCCTCTGTCTTAAAACCTTGGGCATTTTTAAACATTAACAAAAGATCTCCGCTGCAGTACAAGAAGACAACAGAAGAAGCTTTAGAGTACTCAAACTGAGGGAAGACTGATTGTGAATAAAGGCCACATCAGCAACTAAAATGGACACAAGAATTAATCCTAAAATTTCTTAAACTAATCTGTACTATTCTATGAATCTCCTGAAAAAATTAAAATGCTTAAGGTAAGTGTAAAAGGTAAGTGATGAAGTTCTCCTAAGTTTTTACTTATAGCTAAGCCATTTTATTATGGCTAAGATAAATAGAAAAGCTGCCCCAACCTCTCTGATTTATAACAGGAAACAACTTCTTCAAACATTCTTTCTGAATATGGGTGCCAGCAGCTTTCAGCAACTATCTGCCAATGAGGCACAAGGTCACACCTCCCATACCCAAAAAATGTTATATCTAAATTTCTTCTTGATTTCTAACCAGATTTAGAGCACCTGTGTATCAAAAAAGAAAGCAATGCAARCTGAAAACAGTTATAAATAAAAGAAATGGAATGGCTCACCATACACATTACTGCTGCAACTGTGCTGGCATTGAGCACGCTGCCCAAAACCTTTTGGGTCATTGATGCACTGACATCAACTGCAATCACAAAGCATTTTCCTGTTGGTTCAAGTGTCTGAAAGAATAGAAGAAAAAAATGTAATAGGTACACATAATTTATATATTCATTTATTCCTCTGCTTTCAATCCTAATTTTTTACTCTTTCTGGGTAACAATGCTGCTGAAAAGTTTCAGAATTGTCACCCACTCCATCAATGATTCTTGGTAAGTGTACAGAAAACACAAAACTCTTAAAAAGCTTAACGAATTGGAGAACTGAATTACCTTGAAAGCTTTGTAAAATGAGGCATCTAAAGCTTCTAAAATGTCTTCATCAGGACGCCACCAAAGCTTCCCTCTGCTTCCATGCCCAGCTTTATAGGTTTCTAATGCAACCAAAATATGGAATGGATGTATTCTACCCTACAGACAAAAGAAATCAAAAGTTACAGTTTGAAAATTTAACATCCTTAAAAAAAAAAGTAACAAACTTAATGAAAAGATGAAGTCCTACTGGAAAAGATCTCTGGTTTAGAATATGGTTACTTTAAATTTGTTAAATTTGAAGAGTTCATGCAGTCTGTATACAGCTGTTAGATGAACTGACACTTGTGTTACTGATACGGACCTCACAACCTCTCAAGAATCCTCCAATTAATACCAAATGTGATGCCATCATCAGAAATCTGGTTAAATTTTGCAGCTCTATGATTGTTCAGTGCTACTTTTCATCACAGGCTGGCTGTAAGGGCAAGTCCCTGCYCAACTGAAGGGAAAGGAGCTGAGCATGGAAAAGAACAAACTTAATTCTAGTTTTATACCAGATACAGTAACACTGGACAAGAAACAATCTTTGGAATGTAGCATTCATTTTTCTCTTGCAATAAAACATTCCAAACGKTTTTTTTCCTTTTTCTTTTTTCTTTTGTTTTTTGCTTTCTATATATAAACTTATGTATAACTTTTCCATCTATAAATTAGTGGCTGCTGCATGCTAAGTATTCTAAACCACCTTCTCTCTTATCTTTTTGCTAAGGGAGAGTTTCAGTCCTTAACCACTGCCAGTAGCAAACCTCAGTAAATCTGAATGCCTGTCCATTGCCTTTCTTCCATCAAGGAAGGCTATTCTTACACCATGATCTTTCCTCTCCTTTCTCCAGTGCCTCTGTACAATTCAGGAAAAAAATCAGAGAAAGGGAAGAATCATCCCAGAGATGGGAGAAAACAGGCCTATGTTGTTGTGCTCAATTCAACTCTGAACAGTGCTGAAGAATTTAAGTGTCCTGATTTTCATGTTCCCAACTCACATAACCGCTGGTCATGGCACTTGTCTTCTCTATCTTCCATTAAATTCCTGAAGATTTTATTCTCCCTTTCTTTTTCCTCATTTTTTTTACCTCTTTGGTGGACAATAAAGCAATCTGAAAGGAGAAAGCCTCCTTGCCCATCATCTTCTTCCTCTCAGCTGTTATGCTATTTTCTTAACTCACTTAAAAATTATGAGACTCAGAAGATATTGATGAACCCAACAAGCAAAGCTTGCCACAGCCCTCATTTAAGAAAAGATCCAATAGSTGCCAATACACTTAATTTATCAGAAAGTCTCAGAAAGCAAGCRGGGAATCAAATGAGAAATTAGAAGTTTTAACATAAAGTTGTAGGCATTACATGGCAGTTTTAAGAAAGAATGAACTAAAACATTAAAAATTAAAATCCACAAAGGCTGGCACTGATTATGAAGTTCTTACCTTTTTTAGCAGTTTTTCATTTCTCAGTTTTTCACATACTATTGCCACTTCTGAACCTCGTGGTTCAAGCACTGAGTTTGYTGTCAGCTTTCCTAAATTTCTCAACAATACAGAAATGGGCATCTCTTTCAGCAGTGCCTTCCAAACCTATGATCAAAGACAGAGAAGGGAAACACAGAAAGATGAGATTCCCAAACTGGCACCTGTACATTGAATRAGTGTATTTTAAAATAAACGTACAAATTATAGAAACACCTTGATTATTTTAAATTAACTATTTGGGTAAACAACACGAAAAAYAGCCTAAGGGCTATTTTTTACAGAAATCTAGATTTAAAATTCTGAAAAGCATTACTCTTTGGAGAATTCAAAGCTAAGGAAGTTTACCTACCTCTTTAGATTTCAGATGGTTTGTCAGRAGATGCTCTTTAACTAGACCATATTCCTCTATCAAATGAATAACTTCCAATTCATCTTTTGTGCGTTTTACTTTCTCCACAGCCTCCAGATACTTCAAGAGTTTTTCAGTCTCAGCAGAAACTGCTTTCTCTTTATAAGCTTCTTGGACATCTTTCCACCCCTTGGTAACATACTTAGTGACTATAGCAATTCCTGTTGGAAAAGAAAACCATTTCTCAAGCAGGATTACCATCTGTGTACTGGCATTTATCATTCCAGAAAGCAAATGAATTAGCAGGTTTCATTCTCAGACCTGCCAAGCACCCAYTGAAAAGGTCAGGCACACACAATTTAGAGCAGTACTTTTAATTAYTTTAATAATCTCCTTAGAAGTAAGGAGCTTTATRTATTTGCTACATCACCCAGAGCTGTGSATGCTTCATCCSTGGAAATGTCCAAGGCCAGGYTGGATGGGGRTCTGAGCARCCTGGGGTAGTGGAAGGTGTCCCTGCCCATGGTAGGRAACATTTGGAACAATATGATCTTTAYGGTCCCTCCCAACCCAAACCATTCTATTATTCTATGATTTGAAGCCAACAGATTTTCCCACATAAYGARAAAGTGTTATTTCATCATTTGTAAGCAAATAGGAATAAAATGAGGGAATTGTGTTAYTTTATCTTCCCTTGGCACATGGAAGAAAAGAAACAAACTGTTTACCTTGAAGATAAACAGGTCTATTTCTATACAACCACCCATATTATTAAGGTGCAGTTTATAGGACATCCTCACTAAGAATTCATCTACAATACTGGAGTTTCCAAAACACTTCCATAGTCAATATAAAAGGTTTAAAACACAGWATTTTCAGGTAAATAAAAATTTATTACCTTCACTGGCAGGTTTTAGGTGGGACAACCTCAGAAGATCTTTATGAGACCAACCACTTCTTTGCTTATATTTTGTAACCGCTAAAGCAAGAGCCATGCCATTCTTCCCATTGTACCAATCTGCAACAGCTTTCCTCAGTGCACGGCCCCACATGCCACATTTCATGCCCTCCTTCAGATCTTTTTTAAACTGGATGAAAGTAAAGAGATGGGTTGGTATGCAACACACCTCGGGGACAGCTTTAAACGCCGCTTGTTTTGTTTTGGCATCAGAGCACTGCGAGCAMACTGCGAGGGCAAACAGCAGCGGCTCCTGCTTGGCCGCTCTGCCCTCTTGACTAAACGCTTTGATTTCTTCAACAACCTCGCAGCCTCTGCCCTCTTCGATCAGCCTCAGCAAAGCTTCTGCGTTTTCAAAGCCCAGCTTCTGCTCCTTGATGTGGTAGGTGCCGGCCTCGGAGCCGAAGCACAGGAAGTGCTGCAGCCGGCTGCTGTCGGTGAGGTGCCAGGCGGCAGCGCTGGCACAGCCGGGCTGGGRCGCATCGCTCGGGGGCTGCGCTCGGCTCTCCTCCGCCTCCATCCTTCAAACTGCTGCTGCAACAACAACAACACGTTTCGTTAAAAACTCCTCCTGACTGCTCTTTTAGCAAAGCTAATACATCTTTTCTATACACCTGCAATCTTAAATTTGCTTTCATRAATTTAATCGGAGCATTCTCCAAGTGTGTGATAATTCACATCACTTAGAGGAACAGAAACAAAAGGAATCTCTGAGTTAACAATAGAGACAAACTTACTTCCTTAACCCCAAGAAGTTGCTGACAAAAACTACCAGGTATTACAGCCTTTTGCCACTAATGTATTACATCACTTTCTTAGGCAGATTTTTGGGTTGCAGACTAAATGGCTCAAAATTCAGACCTTGCCCTGGTCTATTTTGCTAAAGAATAGCTAATAACGACCCAATGAAGAAAAAATAGGTTAAAATAAGGAATTAAGATCCTGAAAAACTGTTCAAAGCCAGAAGACTGTGTGACAGTTTATATCTGGTGGGTTTCAGTGAGGCTTAGACAACAGCTTTTTAACAACTTAGTAGCTCAAGAACAAATTATCTTTGTTACAGGCTCTAATAGTCAACAGAGATCCAAGAACACACAGAGACAACAGATTCTGCACTGCTTTACGTTTAAAGAGCAAAAATCAGCATAAAAATTCACAACCATTCAGATCTTTCTATTTATACACTCCTGAGCTGCAAGAGTTCAGCTGTAATATTTGTAGGGCAACCTCACTGCTCCTACTTGGAGAACATCCAGCAYGGTAAAATTCACGCCATGACATTTAAAAGTGAAGCAAATGCAGGTGAAATGAAATCAGCAGGGTAATGGTAAGAAAATCCCTCATCATCACTACCTCCAAAACATTAATAGCACAACAATAAAATCAGTTTTCTCAGTTCTCACTAAACAATAAAAACACATTAAGCACCAATAATCCACTCCATCAAACTGCATAAAAATCTTAAAGTACAAGGACTGAAGTGAGCACACACAAATGACATTTCAAAGAAATCCACTAAACAATTTTCAAGAATTGCAGGTGTCTACTTTTGACTTTTCTTGCTTGTTCAGATACTGAAGACCAAGAAAAGCCATTTTGCTCCATTTACCAGGACAAGCTAGCACAAGTAAATGTCATTAATGCAGACAGAGGGTTTTCCCCCGATTTAGTAAGTAACACTTTGATTTACAAACAACTTCCCTACTTCTTTGACAGAGAATTTCCCTTTTTCTGCAAGTGACTAGAAACGCACCTTTCTTCTGTTTTTGCACTGATCTGCATACAGAATTAAACAATCATCAGTGCTCCCATTACATTCTACAAACTGATAAAATCATGAAAATAAAAGCCGTAKGCTGACACCTGGTTTAAAAAAGCAGGTTTCAGCTGAAAATTAACTAAAAAATATATTTCATTGTGTTATTTAGAGCATCAGTGCACAGCTAAATTATACATTCTGACCATGTTTCCTGCCAAACCTATTTAAATACACATCATGGTTGAGCTGGCTTTTTCCCTGACATCTGAAGCATGCAAATACACTGAAAATAACAAGGGTGGYATTCCCCATGCATGAATACCACATCAGGACCTTTTCATGCCCGTATTAATTTTATTTTTTTACAGTTTCATTAGCTCATTTCATTAAACAGTGGGTAATGTTTCATTAGAAACATAGAAAATGCAAGCAAAAATACTGAAATCACAGTAATCATCCATTTATTTATCAGGAAAAAATGGTACATGAGAGATACTGAAAAACACCATTATCTTGAAGGGAAAATAAGAATGGGAAGCACAAAGGATCACTCATGAATACCAAGGTCTCCATGTATATAAAATATTGAGAGTAATTTCTTGCTGTATCTTTCATAACCCTGCCATAATAAATATTACTACATTAAAGTGAGACAAATGGGAAAATTCTTTTCAGACACAAATGGATTATCAAGACTAAAACTGAACTGGAAGCACTATGCCTTTGGTTAAACAAAACACCTCACTTTGTTGGTTATATTAAGAAATACCAGCACTACCTTTTGAATATTTCAGTTTTTTCCCAACATTTTTCCATTTGCCCACATGTTCCATCTGATATGTCCATCTTTCTTGAATTCTCACTTGGACAGTCTCACTGGTCCTCACACACTTAGTTAGAAAACTAATACAAACTATCAACACCATCAATACCTGAGAATGGGAACAAACCTAAACAACTATACCATTCTCAAATGAAAAATAGTATTTATCTGATTTGAAATCTATTGGTAAAATTTACMAAATTTATTGGTAAAATACTGTGACACAAGATCAGTATTTCCATCAGAGGTATCATCTTGAAAAACAAACCATCCCAGACCAGATATTTTACMAAAAAATTACTGAACTCAACTCCATGGTTAATGAAAGAGAAACCCACTATATTTCAACTGCCATATAAATTCAAAAGTAAAAYATGGCTTTGACTGCTCTTAAATTAGTGTATACAGCAGTTACATGTTGACTTGTAAAAGTCAGTATCTTTGCTGCTGTACCATAGCATAATTCAGTTTAAATTTAAATTTAAATTGACCTTTGTTAACTTCTACAACTTTTCTGATTTGCTCTACTTTTCCTAAAAAAATAAAATGTCTTACAAATTCATGGATGTATGCAAAAAAACACATAAAGTACAAAGCTTTAACAGAACTATGGATTCTAATTTAACTGAGCAATGCAAACAATGAATCAAGCTTTGTAGCAAAACCCCATGGAATTAAACTTCGAAGAAGTCAGATCTTCTAAGGAAAAAATGCACTGACATTTTCACAGTATTTCAAATTGTCTTTGAGTAMTTCAAAACCATCTGTACTCCATTCTATGAGAAACTGCACTCTTCTACTCTGCTTTCTAAATTCTGTATATGCATTAAACTGAAGACTATGAAGAATGTCTTCTAGTTAATTGAGCAGAGAGACAGCAACCATCACACTGAGCTGTGTTTGTAACAAACCAGGCCTAGTTCTATWAACATAGTTCTCATACTTCAGAAAATAAGCACCTCTGCTTCAACCGGGATGCCAGAAGAACATTTCCCAAATCAGAAACAGAGCGATGCACGATCACAGCACAGCAGATAGACGATAATCCGAAGCACGTATCTGCTCACTGCAGAATTTACAAGAGCCTCCCTACTTAAAAAAAAATGTACTGACTTGAGGGGCAAAGGCAGCTTAGCTTACGTCGCACAGACTTAGGAGGGAGAAGCACCTAAAGCGGATAGCCGAAGAGCYGCGATCGCAGCTGTCAGTCTCCATAAAGACGATAATCAGCACGCGTGACGGGGGAGCCGCGTAACGCCGGGACACGCCCGGGAACGCCCCGCGGGCCCCTCACGCCCAGGTGCCCTCGGCTGCTGCCCCTCCGGCCTCTCCGCATTCCCAACACATCCACGGAGCCCCCCGGGGCTCACCAGGGACCCCGCACCCTCCGCACCCCGGGAAGCGCCACTTGCCTGCGAGGCCGCGGCCCGGGCGGGGCCGGGCGGTGCCGCAGCCCCGGGAGCCGCGGGGCGATGGGC